ACAGCCAGAGGCGGGTGACCCGGTGTTAGCAGCTGTGTGCCTATCCGGGGAGTCCCCGTGAGCGGGCTCCGCAGCCGGGTGCTGGGGCACTCGGGGTCAGCCCGTGTGGGTTGGGGTTCCGCGCGGTCTGGGGTTTGTGTTGGGGGCCTGTGAGGGTTTAGGATGCTCTGCTCGACCCCTGAGCTGCACCACAGCTTTTTCTACTTCTGATTTCGAGGCGGAGTCTCCTAAAGTTGTCCGGGCTGGGCTCTAATTTGCCACCCTCCTGCCTCAGCCTCCCGAGTCCCGGGACCCCGGCGTGGGCCTTGCACCGGCGCGGATCCGACGAGCCCCTTTTCTGGGGGAGGGGTTGAGGCTGCTCCAGCTCCCCGCGTCGGACTCCCGCCTTCAGGGGGCGCTTCCTGCCGCCACCTAATGAGGTACTTGGGGAGCGGGTGATGAAACCACGCGCCTCGTTGCGTGAGGCCCCGCTCGCCGCCCCTCCCGCGCTCCCCGAGCGCCCGCGCCTCCCACCCCCTCTCGCTTCTCCTTTCCGCCGGCCAGCCACCGCTCCGCACGGCCCCGCAGTCAGGGCGTCACCAGGTCCCCTGAGGTGGCTCCTGACAGCACACTATCCTGGAAAGGATGGTGACAAGGGCAGGAGACCCCGCTCCTCAGCCAAGGTGATGAGCAGTGGGACGCGGGCACTTACACCGGCAGAGGAGCGTCGCTCGGTGTTTGTTGACTGACTCAACGACCACAGATACTGCTACAGAGGGTTTGGGCTGTTCTGGGCTCCAGCCGCTCCCCAGCACACAGGCTCACGCAGGGCTAGGGCCTGGGACCCTCAGCTCCTCCCCCACCCAGCCACGGGGCCCAGGCTCATCCTGTCCCCAAATGATCAGTCTGTTCCTGCCTGGACAGACTCTTGACCCCGCCGCAGCCGCGAGCACAGGACACACTCCCCACTAGTGGGGCGGCCAGCCTTCACATGGCTTCTTGCCCAGGCGCAGCGGCGCTCACCTGTGGTCCCAGCACGTGGGAGGCTGAGGCAGGAGGGCTCCCTGAGTTTGAGGCCAGCCTGGGCGATGGAGCAAGACCCTGTCTCAAAAAAATCATCATTCAGGCAATCTTTGGCAGAGAGAAACCACGCTGAGAAGTGCACATGTGGCTGGAGGATGAACAGGCCAAACGGGGCGGTTGTATCCTGAGCCTGGGTTCCCGAGAGCGCATGCGCTTCCTCCCGCAGGGCCCCACTCTTCTAGGTGGCCCCACCAGCCCTCAACCTCAAGGGAGTTTTCCAGACGGGACAGAGCCCAGGGCCCTTGCGCAGAGCCGCCTCCCAGGCCTTTCTGTCTTTCACGACGAAGCAGGGTCTCGCTAGCACCTAGGCTGGCTGGGCTGGAGCTTGCAGCCCTCCTGCCTCAGCCTCCTGGAGCTCTGGGATCACAGGTGTACGAATCTGTGCCCGGCTTCCAGTCACCTCTTGGCTCCAGGCGTGGTTTTTTTGTTTGTTTGTTTTTTTCTCGGTACTGGGGATTGAACTCAGGACCTTGTGCTTGCCAGGCAAGTGCTTATTCTACTGAGCTATCTCCCTGGCCCAAGGCTGTTGGCATCCTTACCCTTCTGACCCACTCAGGGCTGGCGCGAGTGGACACTTGGCTACTGCTACGTTCTGAGGGACTGGAAAGAGGGCTGCGAAGCCTTGGTCTCCCTGAGGCTGGCCTGCTCAGCCTCTCATCCCCTGGGTGACGCCCTGGTGTCTGCTGTCCCTCCTCCTTCTCAGCCTTGGCCATGGCTGCGCCCCAGGGGACGGGGCCTCAAACCTCAGCTTCCCTTGTGCCGAGCACCCCCCGCAGTTCCCAGCACCCACAACTGGGGATGCGGCTGCCGGTGTCTGCAGCCCGGGTGTGATTTGCATGAGGGACAAATATACTTGCACCCGTGCCTGCCACCTTGCACCCACGGCGCCCTCACACCTGGGTGGTAGGCCCGTGCTGGGCGGCTGCATTTGCATGGTGTATTCTGGGCAGACTGTCAGCTGGGGTACTAAGAGGAAGTTGTTGAGGGAAGCAGGGGTCACAGTCATCCTTGAGACAAAGCAGAATGTGCTCCTCTGCTGCCCCATGTGGTCAAAACTGAGGCCAGAGGATGAGGATGGCAGAAAGGGCTTCCTGGAGAAATGGGTTTTTTGAGCTGGGTTTTGAAGTGTGAATAGGAGTTGGCCAGGTGAAGAAGGAACCAAAGGGCTTTATAGGGAGGAAAATGCTTGTTGAATGGAGGGGAAGGTGGGAGGTGAGGTGGAGTGAGAGCCGATGGCAGGCCGGAAGCTGGAACGCTCTCCTGAGGATGCTGAGCACTGCTGTCCACGTGTGGGGTGGAACTCTAGTGGGGCTGTGGCTGGGCCATCTTGAGGCAGAAGAGTCCTTCCACACCCACAGGCCTGACTTTGGGCAGTAGGAACCCCAAGGGGCTCTGTAAGGAGTGACGAGCTGGAGACAGCAGAGCCCAGGCCGGCCTCTGCAAGCCCCCAGTGGCCCCCCAAGTCCCAGTGCCCCACACCGTGATGGCCAGGCTGGGTGTGAAGATGGTAAACAAGGACCCAGCGCCGGGGAGCCTGAGGCAGGAGCACCGCACATTCCAGCCCCAGTGTGGGAGCCCTGCCTCTCAGAATAAATTGGGACGTACGGAGCTCAGTATAAAATCCATTTTAAAAGGTAGATGACAGGGCTGGGGAGATGGCTGGGCAGTCCAAGAGCCTGCCTGGCAAGTGCAAGGGCCTGAGTTCAGTCCCTGTACCACATGCCGTGCCGGCCCCAGAACCCAGGTGGTGTGCACACCTGCAACCCCGTGCCGGGAAGGTTGAGACGGGAGGATCACTGCGAGTCTGAACTGCATAGTGAGACCCTGTACCAAATAAATAAGAAATACTTTTTTAAAAATAAAAAGTATAGAATAAGCACTTGCCTGGTAAGTGAAGGGTCCTGAATTCAATCCCCGGTGCCACACACAAAGAAAGGTAGATGGCAGATCACACTTCTGTTGTCCCAGCTACTGTTAGGAGGCTGAGACAAGAGGATTTCCTGAGCAAGGGAGTAGTGTCAATAAAATCAGAAGTCAAGTTTGATCCCATTCCCACACACAATGGGTGCACACCACCATCCAGGGCCTGGAGGGAGCCCAGGGCCCCCCTCTATCCAGGCAAGCAGCCCCTGCTGAGCCGTACCCCAGCAGCGGGGGTTCCCCGACCTCCGGCCCCACTCCAGCCAGAAGGGTGGATGGACAGGAGAGAAGGGGCCAGGCCCCACTCCTCCGAGACCAACACCAGGCATTGGAGGCGTTTCCGGAGGCCGCTGGGCACGGGAACCCCCTGGGGACCTGCGGGGTGGGGATGACACTTCCCAGCCGTGGGAACCCAACTGATTCCGGCCAGGATTAAAATTAGCCAGAGGTTAAATTTAGCAAGGACTTAGCGTCCTGGCCTGGGATGGGGCGCGCGACAGCGTTGCTCAGGGGCCCGAGCCCCGCATGCCTGGCCTGAGGGGCTGCGTGGCTCTACCTCTCAGGTGGAGTTCAGTAGCTCACATGCTGCTCAGAGTCGCCTCGAACCCCTGGGTTCAAGGGATCCTCCTGTCACAGCACCTGGCTTGGGCCTGATTTTATTATCATTGTGGTACTGGGCTACATCTCCAGCCCTTTTCGGTTTTTGTTTTGAGGCAGGATCTTGCTAAGTTGCCAAGTTGCCCAAGCTGTCTTGGAACTTGTGATCCTCCTGCCTCAGCCTCCTGAGTAGCTGGGACCATGGGCACGTCCAGCTCTGAACTTCCGAAGAGCTCACTGCCCAGTAACAGTGCTTGGCAGGGCCTGTGGCCTGCCCAGGGCTGAGTGACCTGTGGCAAACTGAGGCGCTGGGGCAGCTGCCCTGCTGCAGGCCACATGGGCTGAGGGGCTGCCGGGAATGGAGGGCAGGCAGTGCCACCTGGAGACCCTCTGCCGAGAGCTGCCACCTGACCCACAGCAGCTCAAAGGCTCGGCACAGGGGCTGCCCCCTGGGGCCCAGGGGACCTGGTGTGACCTAGCAGTGGCTTGGCAGGTGACTCCCTGCTCACTTGTCAACCAGCGCGCCCTGCTGCGCCCCTGGCGGTCACCGCTCGCCCTCCTTCAGCCCCCAGACCCAGGTCTCTGCCCAAGGGGGCAGGCCCCCCAGGGCCTGGTGACCTCTGGCCACGCACAGTGCTTGGCCAGGCCAAGGAGTGCCTGGGAGGCCTGGCTTCCATCACCAGCACCAAAAGGAAAAAGTCTTTTATTTATTTTTTTTTTAAATTTTATTTTTTTAACATTTATTTAGTGTGTGTGTGTGTGTGTGTGTGTGTGTGTGTGTGTGTGTGTGGCCAGCTCAGCCCACCAGGGGGCGCGGCTGGCTGGCATGTGGTGCTGGGGGATCGAACCGCGGTCCCTGAGCTTTGCCAAGCTTGTTCCAAGTAGGTGCTTTAGACCACTGAGCCATCTCTCCAGCCCCGGAAAAAGTCTTTTAAACAAGACTGATCTGTAGTCATGGAGGAGAAAAGGTTAGAAAATTCAGATTATTAAATATGGGTCAGGGCCGGGGAGATGGCTCAGTGGAATAAGCGCTTCCCTGGCAAGTGCAAGGGTCTGAGTTCAATCCCCAGTTCCACAAAAATAAATAAATATGGGTCAGGGGCCAGGGTTGTAGCTCAGCCTCACAGCGCCTGCCTGGCAAGCGCAAGGTTGTGAGTTCAAAATCTGATAAATAAATAAATAAATAAATAAAAATAAAAAGGTCGGGCCAGGTGCCGTGGAGCAACGCCGTCACCCCAGCACCCTGGAGGCTGAGGCAGGAGCATCGTCTCCGCTGCAAAGGGAGACCCTGCCTCGAACATCTTTGTCCTTTCCTCATGCGCTTCTGCCTGGACCGGCCGGTATGAATGGCTCTCGGGGTCCCCACTCACATGGCGACCTGCCCGCCTCCACCACTCTGCCTCTGCCCCACATCCAGGTGCCTGCACGACCCAGGACCATGGGGAGGAAGAAAATCCAGATCTCGCGCATCCTGGACCAGAGGAACCGCCAGGTGGGTGGGGCGCTCGCCCGCAGGGCATGTGGCAGCCTCGGCGCCGTGTTTGCTAATTTTCATGATCACTTATTTATTTCTTATCCCTGAGCGCTGGGGCCCCAGCTAGAAGAACTGGAGCTTGACAAAGAGGCACCCCACTTAGAGGACTGGGCCAAGGGAGGCCAGAGCTGGCGGAGCCCACACAGACAGTGCGCGCTCCGCCTGGGAGGCCAAAGATGCGGCCCAAAGGGGCGGGGACATTGGGGTTGCGTTTTAAAGGACGAGTAGGAGTTCGGGAGTGGGACACAATTGTGCCCCAGAAAAGAGCACGGGAAGCACAGGGCAGAAAGGCAGGCGCGAGGAGCCGCCGGCCGCAGGCTGCGCCCAGGCCCCCGCACTACTGGGCCTTGCTCTCGTGGCCAGGTGACCTTCACCAAGCGGAAGTTCGGGCTGATGAAGAAGGCATACGAGCTGAGCGTGCTGTGCGACTGCGAGATCGCGCTCATCATCTTCAACGGCGCCAACCGCCTCTTCCAGTACGCGAGCACCGACATGGACCGCGTGCTGCTCAAGTACACCGAGTACAGCGAGCCGCACGAGAGCCGCACCAACGCCGACATCCTCGAGGTGCGGCCGGCCGCGGGGGGGGGGGGGGAGCAGCCTGCCCCGACGTAAAGAACACAAAAGGCCAGGGATGCAGCCAACTGCGCAGACCCGGGTGGAAGGAGGGAGGGAGGAGGGACGGCCGCACGTGCGGGCGGACATGCGGGCGGGAGAAGGGCCCGCACAGCTGGCAGGGGCTGCAGGGCGTCGAGCCGGGGCAGTGTGACACCCGCGGGGTCTGGGCCTCTCTGGGCGCAGCAAACACAGCCGGAAGTAGGCGTGGTCCCTCGGGGCCCTGAGCCAGCCGAGCCTGCACCCCCCACCCTGGCGCTGCCTACTCCGGGTGCCATGCCACGGGGCTCCCTGGCCAGCAGCGTCAGGGCTGAAGGGCTGCTCTGCACTTCTGGTCCTCGCAGACATTGAAGCGGAGGGGCGTGGGGCTCGATGGGCCTGAGCTGGAGCCAGAGGGCGGCCCCGAGGGACAAGGAGAGAAACTGCGGAGGCTCACAGGGGATGGAGGCGATCCAGCCCTTCCCCTACCCCGGCTCTACGTGAGTGACCCCCGCCCACCTCAACATAAATGAGGTTCTCCTGGTACGGTACCAGATAGCGAGGACTGAGAGAAACCCAGGACTGGGGTCTCGGAGTTCAGAGATGATTCCCAGCCCCAGTGAAAAAGGGAGACTATAGCTGGGCAAGATAGCTAGGGCTTTGAAGGATGAATAAGAGTTCAACAGGCAGACAGTTCCTTCTTTTTTTAAAATTTTAATTGTGTGTGTGTGTGTGTGTGTGTGTGTGTGTGGGGCCAGCTCAGCCCACCCCACCAGGGGGCGGGGCTGGCTGGCATGTGGTGCTGGAGGATTGAACCGCGGTCCCTGTGCTTTGCTAAGCTTGTTCTAAGTAGGTGCTTTAGACCACTGAGCCATCTCACCAGTCCCTGACAGTTCCTTCTTAAGCCTTTGACTCATCGTAGTCCCCAGGCAGCTCCTCAGTGCCGTCTTCCTGCCCACCCACCTCTGCCCACAGCCGGCTGCGCCCATGATGCCAAGCCCGGACATTGTGTACGGGGCTCTGCCACCTCCAGGCTGCGACCCCAGTGGGCATGGGGAGGCACTGCCCGCCCAGAGCCGGCCATCTCCCTTCCGACCAGCTGCCCCCAAAGCCGGGCCCCCAGGTGAGCGCGGGGCCAGAGTCGGGGGCCCGCGGCCAGCCTGGACCACATGACCGTGCCCCTCAATCGGGTCTCCTCCACAGGCCTGGGACACCCCCTCTTCTCCCCAAGCCACCTGTCCAGCAAGACACCACCACCCCTGTACCTGACCGCGGATGGGCGGAGGCCGGACCTACCCGGTGGCCTGGCGGGGGCCCGAGGCGCGCTGAGCGCCCCGGTGAGTGACAGCCTGGGGTCCAGGGCGGGCGGGCGGGTGGGCGGGCGTGGCTAGGCTGCAGCCTCAGTTTCCCCTCATGCTCTTCCCTCAGAGAAGCCTCTACGGAAGCCTGCAGAGCCCAAGCACCACAGCCACCCCGGGACCCCCGCTGGGGGGCTTCCCTTTCCTTCCCCCAGGCCCCCCAGGTACCCCCACCCCGGCCTCTGGGGCCCCGCGGGGAGTCGGGCTGGTCAAGGACCCCGAAGGGAGGCGCCCTTGACTCAGCCGTCCTCCTCACCCTCAGAGTACAGCCTGGGGGACCCCCCACCGCCCCCGGGCCTGCTGCAGCCCCCTGCCCTGGTCCCCTGGCAGGCATCGAGAGGGGACCGACCCCCGGCCGTCCCTGCGCAGTCCAGGTGAGGAGCTGGGGTGCTCGCTTTCCGGCCGCTGCGGGCCCATGGTGGCCGACTCGCGCTGCACGTAGCCCTAGCCATCGGTGGTGGGGTCGGCAGGTGCCCCTGAGGAGGCCCAAGAAGGAAAGACACCCCTTTCCTTCCTTTCTTCCTTTGTTCTTTGAATGACCATTTTTGAGACAGCCCCAACAGCCCCTTGGTGTGTGGTCCAGCCTAGCTTTGAGCTCACTATGGAGCCCAGGCTGGGCTTGAGATGGTGGAGATCCTCCCGCCACAGCCTCCGAGCGCTGGGCTGATGGATGTGTCCCGCTCTTCCCATCCCCGCTCACAGCTCCCCGTATGTCTCTCCAACAGCGGGGTGCGCAGCCTGGGAGAGGGGGACGCCTCTCCACCTCCAGTCAGCGTCAAGTCAGAGCGCCTGTCACCTGCCCCCGCGGGCCCAGGCGAGGCCACCAAGTCCTTCCCGTTCCCGCTGCTCCTGCGGCCTGGGCCACTGTGCCGCCTGCCCCCTGCCGACGGGTGGCCGCGGTAGGGTGCAGGCGACGGGGACCCCCGTGTTGGGGACCTTTGCAGTGGGGCTGGGGGGACACCTGCCTGCGTGGGGGCCCCTCTCCCTTCCTCCTGTGCAATCCACCAATAAATTTGTTGCCGTCTGTTGTTTTACGGTCTCCGGTTTCCTGACCGCACTAGGCAGATCCCGGGTGGGATGGTGGTCCCCCAGGGGCAGGTGACAGGCATGAGACCCTGTCTTAAAAACCCCGAACAGGCAGATAGTTCAGTGGCATAAGTGTCTGCCTGGCAAGTACAAGGTCCTGAGTTCAATGCCCGGTACCAAAAAAGAGAAAGAAAAACCCAAAAATAAAACCAAGGGAGAATCTGGGGTCCCTGCAGCCCCTCTGTACCTGGCCCTGCACTCACTTCTGTTCCCGCTGAGACGGTTGAGGAGTGTGAGAGAGCTGTCTGGGTTCAGGGGACCAGCCAGGCCCAGAGAGGAGCAGCAGGGGCAGAGACAGTGGGAGGTGGGGCAAGGGGACAGAGATCCTGGGCCCTGCCACTGGCGGAGGACTCACCAGCCACACGGTGGGCACGGCCTGCTGCCATCAGCTCTCCTGGGACCCTTTCCCCTAAGCGCTGGCGAGTGCACAGGGTGACAGCTGTCCACCCAATGGCCTCCGATGGTGGCACACCATGGTCTCTTAGAACCAGACACAGGATCAGGGATGATGAAGCAGAGGGGCCTGGCGGCAGTTGCCCTGGGGGAGCGCGCTCTCCTCTGCTCTGGCTGGTGTCACACACAGGACAGGAAGCTGGGTCAGTCCTGGAGCCAGGGCCGCGGCTAAGCACCCGGAGTGCAGCCTTTACAGAGTGGGCGTGGGGGCGCGTCAATCACCCCGGCTCTCTGGCGGCTGAGCCAGGAGGGTCGCTGCAAGTTCGGGGTCAGGTTGGACTACACAGTGAGACTCTCTCAAAAAACCTAAAAATGTACACTGAGAAGGGAGGTGAGGTATGTGTTTAATTCCAGCACTCTGAGAGGCTGAGGCAGGAGGATTGCATGAGCCGCGGCATTCTAGAGCAGCCCGAGGACACAGTGAGACCCTCACGCGAACAACCACAGCCACACGCAAAGGGGCAGCCCCAGGGCCTGCCACGTGATTCTTTCCCCGGGCCGGGGGAGCTGCATCTTCTCTGCCTGCCACGAGGTGTCGCGCGAGGTCTCGCTTGCGCCCTCCAGCCAGCAGTTAAAAATACCCTTCCTTCCTTAGGTTGGGACCTGGGGTAACTTTACTTGTCCCACAGGGAAAAAATATAAATAAAAGCCGGACATGGTCGCACATGCCTCCCAATTCCAGCACTTGGGAGGCTAAGGCAGGACAGGAAAGAGGGTAGTTGTGTAGCAGCGACCTCCCTCCAAGCCATTCAGGACCCCCCACAGACAAGGACGTCACCGACCACCACCACCAACATCACAGCTAAAGGCCTGAGACTGGGCTGGTGAGATGGCTCAGTGGTCTAAGGCACCTACTTAGAACAAAACTAAGCTAAACAAAGCACAGGGACTGCGGTTCAATCCCCCAGCACCACATGCCAGCCAGCCCCGCCCCCTGGTGAGCTGAGCTGGCCACACACAGACACAAATAAATAAATAAATAAATATTTTAAAAAATAAATAAATAAAAAAAAAATAAAGGCCTGAGACTATTAAGAGGCGGGGCCTTTAAGAGGCGGAGCCCAGTAGGAGGAAGTGATGTCATGGGGCGTGGCTTGGGAAGGTATATTAGGACCCAGCCGCACAGCTTCGCTTGTGCTCAAAGGCATTGAGTGCGCAGCCTTTCAGCTGTAGTCTATAGCACCAGAAGGCCCAACAACCAGGAACTGATGCCTCTGAAACATGGGCCAGAACGAGCCCTCCACTTCTAAATGCATGATCTTAGATATTTTGTCAGTGCCCAAAAACCAGCTAACGCAATCAAGGGCATAGAATTTCCAGCACAGGAGGGAGAATGTGGTTTCTCCAGAACAGAAACAAGGACTGTTCCGCGTGGACCCAGACACAGGTAGGTCCAGTGTAGGTATGCAGGCAGGATACACTGGACAGACGATAGTGGCACTCCTTTTGTCCAGAGGGGTCTTATTCCCTGACCCTCAGTGGGTGCTGGAGTGTACGAGAGACTAAGCTGTTTCCTCTGGACCTGAGACCTAAGATTGAGTTCAACTCCTCAGTTGGCACACTCAGAGATGAACAACGGCGATAGAACAACAGCAGCAATGTGCCGTAATATACCTAATGTAGGCTGGGCATGATGGTGCTTGCCTGTAATCCCAGCACTTAGGAGGCTGAGGCAGGAGGATGCTTGTGAGTTTGTCTGGGCTACAAAGTGAGCTCAAGGCCAGCCTGAGCTGTACAACGAGACTCTCTCAAAAAGATAATAATAAAATAATAAAATAAAATATAAATATAAATTGTAAATCTCAGTGGTGCCATACGTCTGTCAACCCAGCTAATCAGGAGGCTGCGGCAGGAGAATGGCAAGCTTAAGGCCAGCTTTGACAACTTGACGAGACTCTGTCTCAAAATGAAATAAACTCGTGCCCCCATACCAAGGTACAGAGATACTGAGTCTCTGAAATGCTGTCCAAAGCCATGTGTGGTGGTGAATACCTGTAATCTGTGTATTAATAGTCTTACTATGGTTGAGACAAAATACTTGACATCCACACTTCAAGGAAGAGACGTATATTTGGGGCAATTGCTGTGGGTTTAGTTCAAGGTCGGACACTCGGGTGTCCCTGGCACAGTACAGACTACAACTGGGATCCGCAAGCCATCCAGCGCTTTGGGACTACAACTTCCGGCATACAGTGCGAGCGATCATTTTTGTGATTGGACGATTCCAAGCCTGTTGATTGGTTGCACAGAATGCTCATCAGAAAAGATTCGGAGTCTGATTGGTAAGTTCTGCTGATGGGCGATACCTATAGCTCAGTCCGCACGCTGCGTTCCCCGCGGAGACATGGTGAGCGGGTGTCGCTTTGCGCTAGAGGTTCCTGGATCCCTCCGCGGAGAGATCTGGGGAGACACAGAAGCTTCAGGGTCTCTTCGTGGGCAATGAAGGCTCTTAGGGACGCATTGTCGCGTCAAGGACCGTGATGCCTTCCTTGAAGGCGCAGGGGTCGCTGTGGGAGGGCCTCTGGGGAGCGCGTGGGGGTCGTGTCCCTGAGCCTCCTAGGGTCCTTTTTTCTTTGATGGTTTGAGACGGGCCTCACTATATCGTTCAAGTGGCCTTAAACTCTATGTAGTCCAGGCTGGCCTCGAACTCGCGGTGATCCTCCTGCCTCAGCCTCCCGCTGGGCTGACAGGTGTGCGCCACCAAGCCCTGCTCCTCAGGAGGTTCTTGCAAGCAGTTGTGTATGAGCGGGGGAGGAGGGCGGGCTTTAGGGACTTTGAGGCTGCAGAGCCCCAAAGAAAAGTATTCGTGTACGTTTGGAGCCCGTGTGGATGGACTGGGGTCTGGCTGGATCTGGAGACAAGGGTCCATCGGTGGGTTCCTGGAACCATAGGAGCACATGTCAGGCATAGGCAGTCCCTGAGAGATGCGACTAGGCTTTGGGGACGGGATGGCCTCGGGGTCAGGCTGATGCCCAGGGATGGAAGCGGACTTGGGGGTGCAGAGCATGCTGGTCTTGCTGGGGATCCTTGCAGAGATGTTGGGGTGAGGCCGAATGAAGAGCAGTGATGAGGGTTGAAGGTGGGACCTGGTCCGAGCTGGGCTGCGCTCTAGGGGTGACGAAGGAAGGTACCCCTGATTTTCAGTAGTCTGATGTTCTAAGACCCTGAACCTGGGAAAAGGCTTTGCAGGATGAAAGAATGGAATACAGCACGAGCTCCGGGCCAGGGCCAGCCTGGCAAATGTGAAGTTGTGAGTTCGATTCCCAGTAGCCCCACACCATTGCTATTAAGAACTGCGGAGGAGGAGGAGGAGGAGGAGGAGGGAGGAGAAGGGAGAAAGAAAGAAAGAGAAGCTCTAGGACAGCACGGAGCCGAGCCTGGGGCTTGAGCGACTGCCCTTTGCCACCTAGGAAGCCTTAATGGAGGAGGTGGCCTCCTTCCCCTCTTGTGGCCTAGGTGAACCTGGATGGGGGTCGAGGGCCCTCTTCTTAAGGGGTTGCAGAGAGAATGAGGGGTTCATCAGTGCAATTGGGACCTCTGACAGCAGGATTGTGGGAATGACAGGAGGCTACAGGGTCTCCAGGTTGGAGGTGCTGCTCTGCTGGGGACACCCTGGTAGGAAATGGGGTCACCCAGAGGGTAGAGAGAGGCTGGCTGAGGCACCCCAAGTCCGGATTTTTTATTTTTTTTTCGGAACCGGGGATTGAACTCAGGCCCTTGGGAAGCGCTTATTCCACTGAGCCATCTTCCCAGCCTCGGTCCTGATATTTGCACAGCGCCTGATGGGAGTTGGGGGAGCGAGAAGAACAGAGGGGGCGGTCTTATCTGTACTCCACCCACTCGCTTTGAGGGGCCTTTGGACACCCCCCAGCCGATCCTCAGGGAACGCTGGCCCTTCTGCGCAGGGGTGGGTGGAAGCTCGAGCCAGGTGGAAGTTGGCACCTCATCCTTATTTTAGCTTAAGAAGTTTACCTGTTACAAGCATAACTAAATGCCCTTTAGCTCGTTTATTATTTCTAAATTGCTTTTGGAGGGTGTCTGGGAAGGGAGCCTGCGGCAGTGTACGTGTTAAGCCCGCTCAGCCTGAGCCGTACCCCAGCCACTTTGTCATTTGTTCTGGCTGTTCGGTTTCGTTTTGTTGGGAAGAAAGCCAGGACCTCGCGCATGCGGGGCCACGGTGGTTATTTTAATGATGGATTTCTCAGCAGTCATTCTGAATGAGCTTTTCCTATTAAATCGAGCATATTTTTTTCCTGGAGCCACAGGAGGTAGAGCACGAGAAATAAGTCGAGTGTATTTTGTCTGATTAAAGGGTTATTTTTTAATCATTGATTAATATTAATATTGGGGGAAATGGTTTATTGAAGTTGTTGCTTGCAGGGTCAGAATAATCGACACATTCACTGAGCACATAATCTCCCATAATGACTAAGAGCAAACTGATATTTGCTGCATGCAAGCAGGAAACCCCAGCCTCACTCTCAGGCGATAGGTGGGTGCGTGTGTTTTCGCATTAGGGCCTAAAAGGTTGTGCTCTGTTGGAGCTAGGCTTGGAGGCCGAGGCAGGAGGCTCGCTGAGCATTCCAAGCCCGGCCTGGGCTATAGAATTCAAAACTAGCCTGAACTGCATAGAGAGACTCTGTCTTTAAAAAGACAAAAGCAAATAAAGCACCAGAGGTGAGTGTGGTGGTGCTGCCTGGCATCCACGCTCTGAGGAGGCCGAAGCAGGAGGACCACTTTGAGCTCAAGGCCAGCCTGGGCTACACAGTGAGACCCTGTCTTGTAAAACAGAACACAACTAAACTAAAAACCAAAGAAAAACTGTAAGGCTTTATATTGAACCAGGTAGGAGCGCGACGTGTAGATGGCTTCCCAAGGAGGCGATTCACAAAGGGAGTGAGACAGAGAGGGCTTGGTCTCTGGAGGATAATCTAAGGTAGGAGACCTTGGTAGGGCCGGAGGACCGTGGTGAAGTGTACAGGAAGCGAAGAAGGCAGCACCCTACTGTCAGAGGAGAAAGCTGAACCCTGACAGGTGATGGCTGAAATCGAGGGGAGGCTGCCAAAGCCGGTCCACTCCTGCTCCTGGCCCCTGACTCCAGCCCGGGCCTGAGTGGAGGCGGGGTCTCAGCCTAGGTCCCCTCCCTAAAATGCCCTGCAGCCAGGGAGGCTGCCCTTCCCCTCCTCCGTGGCATCTCTATAAATAGCCTGGATTCTGGTGGGAGAGAGCCAGCTGCTTGGCATAACTGCCTGTCTTATCCCCTCCCCAGGCGGTCCTGGGCGTGCAGCTGGTGGTGACCCTGTTTACAGCCACCCTCATGCACAGACTGGCTCCACACTGCTCCTTTGCGCGATGGCTGCTCTGCAGTGGCAGGTGAGCCCCGCCTGTGACACGGCCCCACCCCGTGAGCGGAGCCCGGAGGGCCGCACCTTTCCCAGAGTCCTGCCCATAGTGGGAGGAGTCAACAGGGTCCTGCCCGTGGTGGGAGGGCCCGGGAGAGCCACATTTTTCAGTTTCCCAGAGCTTAACCCACCCACCCAAAAATGGGGAGTTATTTTTTTGGAGACAGGGGCTCACTGGGCAATTCAGGCTGGCCTCACACTCAGTGATCCTTTTGCCTCAGCCTCCCAAGTGCATGCCCAACCAAACTAGGGATATTTTCAAAACTCAGTAAACTGAGTTTGCAATCTTTGAAGGGCGCGACCCTAACTGAGGAGCCATCTCCACATGACCCTACTCTTCCCATCTTCCTGAGCTCCAGCCTTGTCCTTTTGCCCCTTTCTGGGAATATGATGGAAACTGAATTCTCCCGCAGATTCACTCGGTACCCAGGACCCCTGAGAGCAGTGGGTGTGGCTCCCCAAAATTCCTCTCCTTGTGGCAGCCCCAGCCATCCCTGGGCTTTGTGGGGGCGGGTGTCCTTCCTGGCCCAGGGCTCCAGCTCCAACGCTTAGGTTTGGGGGGGGTCCTTGCCTCCTACCCCCCATATCGTCCTGACCCCGCCCATCTTTGTGCTCAGTCTCTTCCGATATAAGCATCCGTCAGAAGAGGAGCTTCGGGCGCTGGCAGGGAAACAGAGGCCCCGAGGACGGCGGGAGCGGTGAGTGACCTGATCCCACAGGGAATCAGGCTTCCCCATGCTTCAGGGTCCAAGGAGACCTGCAGACACAGCTGGAAGCTCTGGACCACCCTGAGGAGTGGCACTGAGTGCTAGGGCTGCTCCCTGCTCACACCCCTCCTTCTTTGTCTCCACACTCCCAGGTGGCCCAACATTCCCGGTGATGAGAAGCCACTGCTGGTGCCACGGGACGCCCCGTTTCAGCTGGAGACCTGTCCTCTCACCCCAGTGGACGCTCTAGGTAATTTATCCCTGGCTTCAAACATTCCCCCTTAACTCCCCGCGCCTGCAGTGGTGGGCTGAGTGCGTGCCCCCACAGTCCTGTGCTTCTTCCTGGAGTACCAGTGGTTCGTGGACTTCGCGGTGTACGCGGGCGGCGTGTACCTGTTCACCGAGGCCTACTTCTACCTGCTGGGCCCGCGGGAAGCCAACATTGCCGTGTTCTGGTGCCTGCTCGCTGTGGCCTTCTCCATGTATCCTGCGTGCTGTGCCCCTGGGGTGGACAGGGACCTTATTCCAACCCTTTTTCATTTTTTTATTTTGAGCTAGAATCTCACAAAGTTGCCCAAACTAGACTTGAACATGGAACCCTCCAGCCTCAGCCTCCCAGAGTGCTGGGGTGACAGGTGTGAGCTGCCACCACACCTGGTTGTTTGTCTTTCTTCTTTATTTCTGTACCTTTGTTGGCGTTCCTAGCCCCTGGACACCTCCCCATGAATGTACCCCTGAGTTCACACTCTGTCTGGGGCCCCACACCCAAAGGCCAGGCCATCCCAAAGGCAGATTGTGCCATCTCTATGCCGTGGGTTGGCCAGGGGACAGCAGCTTGGTCCTTAGCTGCATCAGCAAGGTGTTCGTGACGGTAACCCGGATGTACTTCAGTGTGCAGGGTGGCGAGCGTGCTGTGTGCTGCACCTTCGCCTTCCTCTTCCTCCTCCTGGCCATGCTGGTGCAGGTAGTGCAGGATGATGTGCTGGAGCTGGGCCTGGGACCAGGTACGTGGGCTTCGGCCACAGTCACCACATGTGCCACCTGAGCAGCACCCCTGGGCTCCTGAGGGGTGTACCCTGCTGTGCTCTAGGCCTTAGGAACCAGTGTTACCTGCCCACAGGTAGAGCTCTTTTTGCAGGTCCTTCAGGGCCACTTACTCCCATCTGTTCCAGCCCAGCAGCCTCATGTTTAAAATTCACTTTTTCTGTACTGTTGAGCCATACTCCCGGCTCTTGAGTTTATTTATGTTTTAATTTTGAGACATGCTCTCCCTCTGTGGCCCATGCTGGCCTTGAACTCATCAGGTGATTGTCCTGCCTCAGCCTCCCCTGAGTGCTGGGGTGACAGGTGTGCCCCACCCTGGCTGTATTCTGTTTGAAAAGAGCCCTGCGTGGTGGCCTAGTTGTGTCCTCAGGGGCCGGATGTGGCTCCGTGATGAGCATTTTCCCCAGCATCCATCCCTGTGACCACATAAGCCTGCTGTCACCATGCTGGGCATAGGGTGAGTGTGGAGGCTGGGCCTAGGGACCGGGAACCCTCTCTCTCTTCTGCCCTTCCCTTCGTCCAGGCCTAGCCAGTGGGACCCGGAACCTGGAACCGCTCCTGAAGCAGCAGGGCTGGGACTGGATGTGAGTCCTGGGCAGGGGCTGGGGCTGGGGCAGGGGCCGCAGGGGCCTCCCTTGGTACCCTGACCCTGTGTCTTGCTTGTCCCCAGGCTCCCTGTGGCCACATTGACCATCCGCGTGGGGCTGGCAGTTGTGGGCTCCGTGCTGGGCGCCTTCCTCACCTTTCCTGGCCTGCGGCTGGCCCAGACGCACCGTGATGCACTGACCATGGCGGAGAACCGGCCCCTGCTGCAGTTACGTGGGCCACCTAGTGTGGGGGGCTCCAGTGGAGGCTGGGGACCAAGGGAAACCGGGCCTCACCACGCTGCCCCTGTCCCCACCCCAGGTTCTTCCTGCACACCAGCTTCCTCTCTCCGCTGTTCGTCCTATGGCTCTGGACTAAGCCCATCGCGCGGGACTTCCTCTGCCAGGCGCCCTCCGGGACATCACCCTTAGGCCTGTGCGTGGGTGGGAGTGGGGGAACTGGGAGAGCCCCGTTGCAGACCCCCTCACCGCCCCTCTCTCCCCTTTCCCCCCTCTGTGTAGGCTGTCAGACTCAGCCTTCGACTCGCTGCGCCTCTGGGTGTTGGTGGCGCTGTGCCTGCTGCGGCTGGCGGTGACCCGGCCCCACCTGCAGGCCTACCTGTGCCTGGCAAAGGCGCGCGTAGAGCAGCTGCGCAAGGAAGCTGGCCATGTGGAGGCCAGGGAGATCCAGCAGCGGGTAGGGAGAGGTGCGGGGGCAGCAGGGGTCACCCTGCACCGGGCAGGGCCCCCAGCTAGCCTCCACGACTCCCTGTTCACCAGGTTGTCCGGGTCTACTGCTACGTGGCGGTGGTGAGCCTGCAGTACCTGACGCCACTCATCCTCACGCTCAACTGCACGCTGCTGCTCAAGTGGCTGGGTGAGGGACCAGCCCTGGGTGTGGGCGGGGCTTGGAGAGGAGGTGGAGCCTTGGGCCGGCGGGGCCGCTCACAGAGGGGCTGGTGGGGCGGGGCTGGAGGGGGAGCCTAAAGAAAGGGGCGGGGCTCTGAAGTTGGGCCAAGGGCGGGACTCCGGCTGTCTGGGGATACCGTCCCAGGTGGATCCACCTTGTGTCACCCAAAAGCCCTGAACCCCCCCTCTGGCAGGCTGCTACTCTTGGGGCCTGGGTCCGGCACCCCCTCTGCTGGTGGCCCCGTCCTCAGCCGGTGCTGGCCTGGGAGAGGACGAGGCGCAGCGCGCAGCTGCCGGCATCGCAGCTGCCCTGCGCGGCCTGGCCACGCCCCTGCTGCTGCGCGGCGTCCTGGCTTTCCTCATCTGGTGGACCGCAGCTTGCCAGCTCGTCTCCAGCCTCTTCGGCCTCTACTTCCACCAACACCTGGCAGTCTGCTAGCCGTGCCCGTGGCCCCTAGCCCTGAAGCCCAGTCCAGCCACGCAGCAGGCTGCCACTCTGTAGGCCTCAGTGTTCCAGCACCTCTGCGATGCACGGGCCACGGGCGCTTGGGAGCCCCTAGAGACTGGCTCCCTAGACCCGAGGAAGGAGGGCCAACGCCCTTGTCTCCAGGTGGGCGTGCAACACCTCAGTGGCCACTGATTTTGGGACTAAAGGAGCCCGCCACGCCTGGGTGTGAATGGGATCCACATGGTGGTGTTTGTGGCCCAGCCCAGGAAGAGCCCAAGCAGAAGTCATTTAGCTTTTTATTAAATATACTCTCTTGGCACAAACCTTTAAAATATAAACATATATAAACAAAGTGTCTTCATGGCATCAAAATACAACTCCAGTCCAGGCCCAGCGACCAGCGGAGGGGTGGCTGCAGGGAGCCACCCGAGAAAGGCACACAGGCCTGTAGGTCCTAGGGATCCCACGGGCCTCGTCTCTCCTGCCTGGCCAGAAGCCCAAACGCAGGCACTGCCAGCCGTCAGCCTACTGTCACTGCCTGGGTGGCCCAGCCCCCAAACCCTCACCTGTTCAGGGGCTACCATCCCCAGCACAAGGTGGCCAGCCACTCCTGGCAAGTCTCACAGCTGCCCCAGCTGACTGGGCCCTTGGTGACAAGACAGGGACAGCTATGGACATATGCAAGGCAAGGCACAGGGCCCTTGCCATCACAGGTACAGGCAGGAGTGTCCCGGTCACGGATGCACACAGGGCCAGCCCACTCACTCAGATCCTGGCTCCAGTTGGGACCCTCCATGCCAGCCATGCTGGAACAAGACGGCACCCAGTAAGGTTTGATGAGGACAGAGCCGGGTTCACAAGGTCAGAGCCAAAACCAAAAAGAAGTCAGGTGTCATTAGAAAGGGAGGCATGGGTCCCTGGGGACTTCTCCAGGAGATAAACTGGCTGGGGGGCCCTGAGGCCCCCTAAACTTCCGCACCCCTCCCCACTGTCAGGGCCTCTTTCCTCTGGGAGGGTCAAAGCCACCATGAGCTTCTGTTCAAGATGCCCCTTGGGGTCCTTAAGTTGCTCCACATCATGGACAAGACCCCTGGAGACCCATGGGTGTCAGGCTCTGGCACTCAGTGGGGCAGGACATGGCCTGGGTGCTTTTTTTCTGCAGCACCCCAGAGGAGTCGGAGCCGAGCCCAAGGTGGCTCCAAGCCATGGTCCGGTCATGGGACCCTCCTGGGGAGAGACAAACTGGGCCACGAGGAAGACCTGCTCCTGGGAGAAGGCTTGGGGACCCTGGGGAGAGGCTGAGAAGGCAGGACAGAGGGCTAGTCTGTCCTGGAGGGGCCTGGCGGCAGGCACGCACACAGTCAGGGGAAGGGCACAGGAGGACTCTGCGCCCCTGCACGGGGTCACCAGCATCAGCAGCATCTCAAAGGTCACAGTGCCACAAGGACAAGTGGCCCAGGCTCAGGGATGGGGGACGACACCTTTGGGAGGGGGCGGTCTCAGCAGCAGCGTCCTCTAAACAGTGCACTGGGAGCCACAACCCCGCCCCCCGCCCCTCAGAGAGGCCGCAGGGCAAGGCGGTCGTGGGCTCCAGCTTCCCAAAGGTCCCTAGCTCCGCAGGTGCCGCAGCAGGATCTGCATGAGGTCGAAGGTGGTAAAGCTGATGCCTACAGCGATGGGGCCCTTGAGCCAGTTCATACTCAGGCCCTTGTAGAGGCCACGCACAGCGCCCTCCTCACGCACAATGGCGCGGAGTGTGCTCAGGATGGAGCCGTGTGTGTGGCCCGTGACGCCGGCCGTCTGCATGCGTCGCCGCACCACGTCCAGCGGGTAGGAGGCCGACTGGCCGAGCAGGCCCGCACAGGCCCCGAAGATCATGCGCTCGAAGGGGTAGGGCTGCCGGCCGCCGCCGTACTCTGTGGGTGAGGGGCGAGGGGGGGGAGGGCATGAGCGGCCGCCAGGGGGCACTGCGGGACACGCACGCCCACAGGAGCACCGGTTTGCCTACTTGCCCCGGCACGCCCACATCTTCAGCGAGCTGTGCTTTTGTGGTGCTAGAGCTGGACCCCAGGAAAGACCCGCACACGCCAGGCGAGCTCTCCCTGCAAGACACCCCAGCGTGACACTAAACACTTTTCCATAACGTGAGCTAGGGGGAGGCAACCCTCATGCTCCATGGGCACAGAACACCTGCCCATCCTTGGGGACACATTCCCAGACACCCACGGGCACCGGCAGCCATGGACAGCACTTAACCATAGATATACATGAGAGCGGGGGAGAGAGAGAAAGAGAGAGAGAGAGAGAGAGAGAGAGAGAGAGAGAGAGAGAGAGACAGAGACACACCTGCTAGGTTGCTAAGTTGCCCAGAATGGCCTTAAATTTGCCATCCTCCTGCCTCAGCCTCCCAGGCTTGTCACCATGCCTGGCAATATAGTATTTTTCCCCCTTATATACACATTCCTATGAAAGCTTAACCTTTAAAGTAGGCACAAGAAGACAGTCACGGTAACTGATAAAGAGAATTCTAACAAAAGCTGTCATAAGTGACATGAATGGTTTCTGTGGGTGTAGCTCAGTGGCCAAGTGCCTGCCTAGCAAATAGAGGCCCTGGGTTCCATCCTAGGCACCACCAAAACAACACAAAACTTCCTGTTCCACAAAGAAATTCTGAACCCCATTAACCACAGAATTAAAATATTAATTAAAAAAATCCCACCTGAGTCCTGAACTTCTGGGGACATTTTCTGTTGCAGCCTTACCCTGAAGAGCTCAGGAGAGCCCTTGGTGCCAGCTGTGCCTCAGGCTAGGTATATTCTGCTTGGAGGCCCTGGGCCTCAGGGGCTTGGGTGAGCAGGGACTGGATAAGTGGCCAGTGTCCCCGTGCCAGCGCCAAGGAGGGAGAGGAGTAGGCATGAGGAACACCAGGCATTCACTTTGGTCACAAAGGTTTTGTTCTTTAACAAAAAAACACCGAGGGCCACAGTCCAAAATGCTGCCACGTGTTCACAGGGGGCGCAGTAAGGGCTTGTGCTTGCTGAATTTCAGGTTCTCTCCCGGTTAAGCAAGACAAGCCAGGGCTCCCATGTGCTCGCTGCCTGCGCATCCGTGGCCTGCAAATGCCACCGGGGCTCAGGGACACCCTGACCTCTGCCGAGATGTTGTTCAAATGCAGCAGGAAGCCAGGTTAGTGGTGTGAACTGCAATTACAGCTACTCAGAGCCTGAGGCAGGAGGATCACAAGTTCCAGGGCAGCTTGGACTACACAGGGAGACCCTATCTCAAAAAACAACAAAAACCCAAACAAACAAAAACCTCAGACACTTAAAGACTTGAACCCGGGCTCCCCAGCAGAGGCTGGACAGTGTGCTTCTCTTGATCTGGACTCCAGGTCCTCAGCCTCTTTCATGCAAAGGGACGTGGGCCTTCCTGTCCCGCTCCCAGATCTGGGTGACCCGGCCACATGCTATCCCCAGGGGTGGCTCCTCACCTCGGTGCAGGCTCTTTAGCGTTTCGTAGGTGAAGAAGCTGAGCCCTGCATATGGAATGACGCCCAGCACGGTGGGTGTGAACCCATGGTACAGCGTCTTCAGCCCCTCTTCCCGTGAGATTCGGGCAAAGACGTGGAAGATGTTGCTGTACCTGCCAGGACAGCCGGTGGCATTAGGGGTCCAGTTACTAACTCCTGGCTCCTCCTGCACGCACCAGGCCTGCGCCTAGGCCTGGCTTCGATGCTCGTGTGTGTGTGTGTGTGTGTGTGTGTGTGTGTGTGTGTGTGTGTGAATCAAATCCAGGGGCACTCTACCACCAAACCACATCCCCAGTGCCTTTAACTGTGGCAAGGTCTTTCGAAGTTATCTGAACCTGGAATCCTATTTTAGCCTCCTAGACATGTGCCACCTGGCTTTTCTTATTGGAGTTTAGTGAATCTGACCAACTCAGGGGAACCCTCGGTTTGCTGGAAGAGGGTGGGTGAGAACTCGGGCCCGGCCGGGGGCACTGGAGGCCAGGTGTCAGGGAGCGGACATCAGCAGCCTTTAGAGGCGACCTTGCCCCCACAGGACTCACATTTCCTTCGGGGTTACAGCCATCCTGGCTCGGACCAGGTCCAGGGGGTAGGTGAGCGAAGCAGCCGTGGTTCCCGCCAGCGCGCCCGCGAGAAGGCGAGGCCAAGGGGGCAGGGCCCTGGGCAAGGAGAGGAGACCGGGAGTTGGGGTATGAGGAGATGCCACCTGGACGCACCCCCACCCCTATCAGCGGTGCCGGGCGGGTGACTTTTCTGCACCTTCCGGGTTTCATCCTTACAAGAGTGCATATCCTCCCTAAGACCTTGGGGACAGCAGCCCACAGCCCTGGGCCAGACACTGGGCTCTGGGGGGAGGGGCCATTAGGACCTGAGGAAAAAGACCCGCTTGGAGGGCAGAACTAGATAGGGCGTGACTTATTCCGAGGGTAGGACAGGGCCTGCTGGGAAGGTGTTTCGAGGGGCGTGCCCTCGTATGGAAGGCCGTGGGAGGTTTGTCTGGAAGGAGCACGAGTGTCCTTGAGGGCGGGGCTATGAGCGGGGCCTGTCCTTATACGGAGGTCATCTGTGGGCGGGGTCTTCCTTAGGTGGAGGCCGGGGACTGGAGGCGGGGCCTGCGGGAGGGCTCACTCTCCGCGGAAGCCGTAGTAGCGGCCCAAGACGCGCTTATACTCCTCGTGGGCGCTGAACTGGATGGCGGCGTAGGGCACCACGCGCACCATGGTGGCCGAGTTCCCACGCCACAGGCTGAAGAAGCCCTCGTTGAGGTAGGTGAAGTAGAGGAGTCGGAAGGCCTCCTGGGGGAAAAGGGGAGCTTTTATCTTAGTTCCGCCTCGTTTTGACCAGCTTGAGCTATGACCCACTTTGCGCAGGCTCCCGCGCTGGGTCCTTCCCTCAGACCCTGGCCCCGGCTGCTGCCCAGCGAAGGAGCAGAGCCAAGGAAGGGTCAGCGCGACGCACATGTTCTTCTGGTGGTGTCTGTCTGGTAGAGCGCACTGCTAACTCACAGCACTCTGGGGAGGCTGAGGCAGGAAGATGTGGAGTTGGAGCCCAGGTTGGGCAACTTAGTAAAGAAAATCAAAATGAGGTAAGGGGGTGGGCTGAGGGTGGAGCTCAGCGCCAAGGTCCTGGGTCCACTGTACGAAAGAGAGTTTCTAGCCGGTAACACCTGGCTGTATTTAACAGTACACGGCCAATGAAGACAAGAGTTCAGAAGTATCCCGTGCCCTGACTCCAAGGGCACGTTAGGGCCTCTCACTAATTCCCTGGGTGCGTGGTCAGGATGCGTGTTTCTAAAGCCGAGGGGCACACCTGCCCTGGGTGCAGGGAGGGAGCTGAAGGGAAAACGTGGCCCTGCCCAGATCACCCTCCACCCTCACGGCCGCCCAGGGAGAGCTCACCTTAGCAGAAAACCTTTTTGAAGACACTGGAGGGAAGAAAAAAAAAAATGAGACTGAGATACAAAGGTAGGAGCCTGGGCTCTCCCAGCAGGGACCTCATCCTCCTCCTTCGCCCCCAGCCTTGTCCCCAGGGATGGGGCGGGGCCAACATCCAGCACCCCAGGGTGGCGAGGGTCTCCGCCAGGGCCAGATTTCTTTCTGGGACCACGGGATCTGCACTCTGCACCCCAACCTGATAGGACTTCTTGCACATGCGGGGAAGTTGCAGCCGGCCGCCACCAGAGGGCGCGGCAGCCCAGGCTCCCAAGCAGGTCGATCCCCCAACCTCCAGGGCATCCGGCCTCACCACCGCCCCCATTTGACAGATGAGGCTGGGCGAGGTCACAGGGCCATTTGAGGCGATTGGGAGACCCTGGCTCGAGTCTGCAGCCTGGTGTGTGATGTCCCCTGCCTGGCCCTGGACGGGAAGTGGTGACCGATGGTGGGCAGGCTGAGGCGTCATCTCAGATGATGCTAACGCTGTTTAGCTCTGAGGGAGAGCTGGTTTCTGCTCTGGGTGGAACTGTGCCCACCCCCAAGTCACGTCCACTGGTGTCCTCCCAAGTCGCCAGCTCAGTGCCCCAGGATATAGGCTCTTGGAAGATGTGGTTGTGGAGATGAGGTTGTACAGGACGAGGGTGGCCCCAAATCCAGTAACTGGTGTCCTCGTAAGACAGCAGTGACACACAGACCGCCACGGTAAGATGCAGGTGGAGACCAGAGGGACGCGGACACCGGCCCAAACCACCTGGACCCTGGCCCCAAGTCTGGAAGCAGTAGTAAGGACCCTTCCGGCGCTGGAGGGGGGCGGGGATCTCACTGCCGCGATTTCCGGTTCCGCCCTTGGGAAGGCACAGAACCACTCCTCTACACTGAGTAGCCTGTCTCACGATACTTGGCGACTGTGACCGCGGGACGAGCACCCAAGTGCAGCTTATGGGGGCCTGGGAGGGCACAGAGGTCAGTGTGTACCTTGGAAGATGATCTTGGTCCGGTCCAGGGGAGCTACCGCTGTCTTGGCGAGCGCGCCAGCCAGGGCACCGGACAGCAGGGAGCTTAGCACTTGCTGGTGGTCTCTCTGCAAGGGAGCAGGGGAGGCAGTGGCCTAAGGGTGCGGTCCTGTAGGCCCCAGGCATGGTAGGACGCTGCAGAAGCGCCCTCGGGTGACACTGGGTCTTGGGTCTACAACTGGATGGATGGCCCTCATGGACAAGGCCCTGGCCCCCTCGGTGACCTTGGTTCCTGCCCAGCCCACGTGCCTGATCCAGGTTCCAAGGGGCCCTGAGGTCTGCAGGTGGGCAGGGATTCCAGCAGACCTGGCTCCCCCGGCACAGCTGCTTGCTTGCTTTCCTGTTTCAGCTCTGGCGATGGGACCCAGGGCCTCCACGGAGCTACAACCCAGCCCCCTTTTTGTTGGCTTGAGACAGGGTCTCACTGCCTAGCCAGCCTGGCCTTGAACTCATAGTGGTCCTCCTGTCGCAGCCTTCTAAGTGCAGGGATGACAGACGTGTGCTACCACACCTTCCTCCCATTTTGGAGTGCAGTGTGGCCTCCGGACCTAGGGCAGCTCCCAGTTGCGCACCCATGTGTCCTTTGTGGCCCTTGACCTGTCCCATCCTGGGCCTGTGGGGTTCAGGCTCCGCCCGGATGCCCACAGCACCCCCTCCATGGGGCCGGCCCACCTTCCCCAAAGGAACAAAATCCACAGTGAGTCCAGTTTCCAAGGCCAAACCCAGGTGGGTTCCATCTCCTCGTCTTTGGGGACCCCTGTCTTTTGTGGGTCACATGGCAGATATCTGGCTTCTGTTTTTTTTTTTTTTTTTTCCTGTTGTTGAGAGAGGGTCTTGCTGTTTAGTTCACATTGGCTTTGAACTCACTAGCCCAGGAAGATTTGAAGGACAGCCCCTGACTGTCTGTGGGTGCTGGGCATGAAGTGACCCATCCCTCGTGTCCTCCTGCAGCCAACTCCCAGGCCCTAGGCAGCTCTTAACCGTCTGCACTAACAGTACATCAGCTTCCCAAGCGTTATTCTAGGCAGCTGCCAGCCCTGCTGGGGACGAGTGGCCGGGCTGCTTTGTGAGGTGCTCAGGGGCCCTTAGCCAACGCTTCAGCTCTTCCTCGATGCCTGTGGTTTATTCCTGGGCGCTGCAGTTCAGGCAAGCAAAGGGGGCCAGTCACAGGGACCCACCCTGGCCACTGACGTGAAAAATGCTCACATTTGTTTCTCTGACACTAGGGGGCGCTGTGCAGCCTTTCTGGTTCAAGTGATCCTCTTGCCTCAGCCTCCCTACTCCCTGGGACAGGGGCCCCCGCTGTCCTCATGTTTGGCTGCGCAGGCCGTGTAGAGGACATTCCGGCCCTGTAAGGGCCTCCCCACGTTACTGAGCCCTTCTGCCCACCTCACGCTCCCAGGTGCCATCAGGAATGGGGGAAAAGGTGAAGAGCTCTGGAGGATGACTCCGGACTAGCCTTTGACCCCGTGGACTTTTGTGCCTGCCAGTGGCCACGGCTCTGGCAGGCGTCTTTGCCTTCTCGCCAGAGATGTCTGGATTCAGATCACCCATGAGGTCTTTGGTGAAAAGAGGACAGCCAGTGTCTCCCACCCATGATCCCGTGGAGTCACCAGTCAAGACAGAAGAGATGAAAACGTGATTTCCGGGGAGCATGGGCGGGCACCAGGGAGCGGCGTACCTCGGGGGAGGGCAGGACGGCGTCGGCATCCTCGCGCAGGCGCACGGAGGCCTCCTTCATGCCACTACCCATGCCGGGCCGCTCCTGCTGGGCGGCGCCTCCGTCCTGCGGAGGAGAATGGTTGTGAGGGTTGTGAGCTGAGACCCGTGGACGCCCCCTTCCCAGCCAGGCCGCTCAGCACCCTTCCGCCTCCCTAAGAACGCCCTTGCCGGAGCGTGGAGGCCACCGTGCCGAGTAAAAGGACTTCCCCACTGACAAAGGCTGTTCTTGTCACTCCTTGCATGTGACCGCGACAGTCAGTTTCTCTAACCTGGTACCTGCAGGGCAGGCTGACTCAGGGAGGCTGAGCCACCAGTTGAGGTCATGAGGGGGAGGCGGGGTGCAGGGTCAGGTTGGGCATCCTCCCCATCTTCGGCAGCATAGCCAGGCCTGGAGTCTGGGGACACATCTGTCACCACCAGGCCAATTACCCTTGGAGGTTCCTAGGGACCTCGCAGACCCTTCCTGCCTGAGCAGCTCGGCCTTTGCATAGGGATCTGGAAGAAGCCCTTGACAGATGGACGATCTGACAGATGAACAGCCAAAACCAAAGAAACACACATCTTCGGGGAGCAGAAGCCGCCGCTCCTTTTTTCGTACTGAGCATTGAACTCATGACCTCGTACTTGCCAGGCAGGTGCAGTGCTGCTGAGCTCTGTCCCTGGCCCAGAAGCAGCCACTCTCACAAAGCTCTGAGCAGGACAGGACGGCAGGGGTTTGAGCAGCAGGTGGGCGAGGCTGCGTCCCAGAGGCCAGGAGAGCTAGGGCCTGACCCCCATCCCTGGCCAGCTGCCTGGGAGCTGCGAGGTGCGGCCAGCCCTCCAGGAACCGCATCCTGGCCAGAGGACCTCCCAGCCGCCAGCATCTTGGAAGGCAGTGGGGCCACTGCCCAGGAGTCAGCAGGGCTCAGCAGAGGCATGCCCAGAAGTGGAAGGCACACAACCCCAAGGCCCGCTTTGGCTACATCCCCATTCTTATCCCCCTCTTCCCAGTAGCACAACCCAGGCCACACGGATGATGACACAAGTTGGGACTTCAGAAAGCAAATAAAAACCCACATCTGAGGGCTGGGGTGAGCTCACTCAGTGGCCACAGCCTGAATTTGTTTTATTTTTTTAATATCCACTGAGGGCCGGGAAGATCGCAAGTGCCTGAGTTCAATCCCCAGGTCTAAAAAAAAAAAAAAATCTATTGAACAGTGTAGGCTTTTCTACCTGCCACTGTCCCTGGAACAATAAAGTAGGAGGTCCATAGGAGGCTGTTACACTGCCTTGGGAGTCAGAAGCCAGGAAGTGGTGAAGACAGTGTGCAGGGGGGCGGGCAGGGCCTTGCTGATCACTTGGGGACTGGAGGGCGCAGGGTTTCTCCAGCCAGCAGACAGGGCCTGCCAAGAAGGGGGCCGGTGTCAGCCCTGGCCTGCTCTGGGCGGGCGGGGGAGTGAGGCCCCCTGTCTGGACAGCACTAAGGACTTGGCCACAGGCTAGTTCTAAATCCTCTCACCCCCTGTTTGGTTTTGGCCGTTTATTCACACAGGACCTGAAGGACTCGGATTCTGGAGCAGGACTGTGCAGCCTGTAATGAGCTGTCTCAGCCATGAACTCAACTCCAGTCTTGGACATTTCATGAGCCTGGTGTGGTGGCGCATGCCTGGAATCCCAGCACTCCAGAGGCTGAGGCAGGATAATCTTGGTGAAAATAGAGGGCTGGGGTGTGGCTTGTTGGTACAGAACCCTCCTGTGTGCGGGGCTGGTGAGATGGCTCAGTGGTCTAAAGCACCTACTTAGAACAAGTTTAGCAAAGCACAGGGACCGCGGTTCAATCCCCCAGCACCACATGCCAGCCAGCCCCGCCCCCTGGTGGGCTGGGCTGCCCCCCCATAAATAAATAAATAAAAATTTTTAAAAAAAATTCTAAAAAAAAAAAAAAAAAAAAAAAAAAGAACCCTCCTGTGTGCCAGAGGACCGGCTTTTTATCACCAGCGCCTCAATGAAACAAGGAAACTCTGAAAGTACTCACCCCAGGGTGGGCGGAATGCCTGTCCTGAGTGGGTGCAGACTTGTTGCTTGTCCTGGTCTAAAGGACATAGGGTTTCTCACACTGCATCTTACCACTTTAGGCATTGCAAGTAACCTGAAGACAAGACATGCAGAAGGGCCGGGTGGCTCAGTGGTGGGCACCTGCCTGCCTGGGGTCACCCTGGCACCATGACAAAGTCAGCCAAGGCCCTAAGCAGACCTGCAACAGAGATGGGAACGGGGTCGTGAAGGGAGATAGGATGGGGCATCTCATGGGTACAGTTTCAGTTCCTCAAGATGACAAGGCCACTGGGGACAGATGGCAGTGGTGACTGCAAAACGACGTGGAAGTCTGTAATGTCACTGGCCTGCATACTGAGAAACTTCAAGTGCAAGGCGGCTGGAGTGGTGTGCTGATGTGCGCACCCATAATCCTGGCTCTCTGGGAGGCTGAGGTGGGAGGATCACAAATTTCAGCCCAGCCCAGACAACCCAGATGCAGTTAAGATGCTGTCTCAAATTTTCTTTTTTAAAGGGCTGGCCCAATAGCTCAGCGGAGGGTGTAAAATAGCTCTGTGGATTGAAGCGCCTGGGAGCAGGCGCAGGGGCCGGGGGTTCGATCCTGGGCCTGCTGTGCTGGCCCCACCTCTTGGGGTGCGCTGAGATGGCAATTGAAACCAGGCATGGTGGCACATGCCTGTCATCCCAGCTCTAAGGAGGCTGTAAACAGGTGGATTACCACCAGTTGGATCTAGTAGTGAAACCCTCAATACCCTGTAGACCCTTCCCTAAAAATACAAAAAAA